GTACTAGTCATATATCTTTATCAGTCACTTTTATATAACTACAAAAAAAATGTTGAAATGCTCATTCATCTATCGCCTAAAACTCAATTTCAGTATATTTACTTACTGAAAACTCTGGAATCTTTGTTGAAGAGAAGGCCTTCAGGGTGTGTGTATAGATGTGTGTGTGTGTGTGTGTGTGTGTGAGAGAGAGAGAGAGAGAGAGAGAGAGAGAGAGAGAGAACTTGGAAGTTTGTCAGAGTCATCTTGAAAGAAAAACACAGCCCTTTTACTGAAGAAATAGTTACCAGCCATATGAGAGTCTAATTATGTGTATCCTGATCTGGAACATACTTCAGGAAAATACAGGTAGTCAGGTGTCCATGTAGAAAGACCAGAAACAATGGTTGTATTGCCCTAGAGTAGTAGTTGCAAACTGCTGGTCCACACGTTCACACATTACAAAGAAACTGTGGATGGGTTTTCAGATGGTTTGTTAGCAGACTGATGGTCATTCCCAGAGCTGTAAGATGCTACGTATAGCAGCTGATGGGCTTGAGTTGGGACTCCATTTATATGGACTCTAGAACGTTTTCACTACAGCAAGACCAAGTCTACTCTGAGTGACACCAGTTGCAGTAACATGCAGTATTTTACTGATTTCATCCAAACAAAATGTTTTTAACCTTTCTCTTTAAGGTCTTCAGTTTTCTCCTACCACTTCCATTTCCCCTCCCTCTTTCTATCCATTTCTTTCTCTCTTCTTTTTCCCACACCCCTGATTATGATTTTTTCACTGAATTTCATATGCCTCATAAGTTATAGGTGCTAGGTAAATATCATTTTGTTAGAGTCTGTAAACAAGTCTGGATGGTGCCTGGCAAAATGCCAGAGGGAGTGGTTTGTGAAGTAACACCAGCGAGCCATTAAGTGTGGAGATTTCTTATTGGTTGACTGCTGTATCTAGTTTATGCTAATTAAGATAAGTTGTGTGGAATGGATAAATACCTCTGTTGTCCTACAATAAAAGGCTCCCACTCCTGCTGTATCAACGTACACAAGTTGTTCGTAACCCCCCTGGTTATTTTGCTGCAGCCGGACTGCGACATCATTTTTTATAGCTTCAGGAAGAAAAATCTACTGACTCTTTAGCAGGTGGCACCAACCTACAGTCATCTTCTGGTCCATCTTCTAGAACCAGGTTCTAATGAGTTTGCAAGAGAAAGTGATGGTGCCCAAGGAGAACGTGAGGATGTTTCTAGAACAATGCACCATTGTTCTCCCAGGATGCTATCTCCACATTGTCCACTGGCTCACTGTATGCTTCTGACTGACTCCAGCATTTCAACCTGGTTCTCCCAAGTTCGTCTGCAGACCACATTGTGCACAGTAGGCATGTATGTGCTGAGTCCCTGTGGCCTGGGCAGGATCAGCCTGTCTTGGTGTTGACAGATGAAGCCTTAACCAAAACCCACTTCTCTCTTCTCTAGGAACAGTAAACAGAGAGATGCTGCAGTAAATGTTGTGCGTCCACAAAGATCCTTGTTTTCCTTGCTAAGAGGATAGATCAGAGTAGTGAGTGCAGAATTTCATTACCAAAAAAAAAAAAAAAAACATGAGGGCTGGGAGAATCACTTAGTGGTAAAGTGTGTATTTAACATGCAGGACACTCTAGGTTCAATCCCTGCCATGAAAAAGAAAATCAGCAAATCATTACATTTTTACTATCTTTCTTTGAACCCTTAAATATATATGAAAGGATTTCTGTTCAGGAAGGGGAAGAAGACCAGAATCTAAAGGGCTGCATTTTCAAATGGCTTACATGTTGACTGTTACAGTCTGGTTTCTATAACAACAGACTCATTTCATTTGGAAACAAAAGTTTTATCCTATCTATAGATGATCCCCACTTAACCATGGCTCCACTTACAATTTTATGATTGCATGAGGAATGCTAGAGCTCCATGCATCTGGGAGACACCCTACTTCTAGTTTTGAATTTTGATCTTTTCTGGGGCCACTGATGTGCAATACAGCACTCTCTGAGAAAGATGGGCAGCAGCAGCAAGCCTCAGCTCTGAGCTAGCCACATGACCCAGAGGGTAACCCACCGCAGCTCTACAATGTACTGTTGCTAATAGATGCTGTTTTGTACATTAGGTGTATTTCAGCATTTTCAACTGTGATATTTTCAACTTCAATGGGTTTATTGTAATGCAAACACGTTTTAAGTTGAGGAGCATCTATAGTACCATTTCTCTAAATCTTCTCTGTTTAGTTCCTTTGCTCATAAATAAATAGGTTATTTTGGGGTTTGGGTGTTATTTTTTTGTTATATATATATATCTCCTAGGTCATAATGCTCTGTAAGAAGAGTAACTTGCAAGGATATTCCCCATTCTGTAGGTTTTCTTTTCAAATTCTTAATTGTTCCCTTCACTGGCACCATATTTTTTATACTTTAACAGATAAAGAATTAGAGACCCAGGGAGAGAATTTCCTATTTCTGTGTCCTTCCAGTTCCCTTCTGCAGAATGCCCTTCCCTCTCCTCTTTGCAAGTCCAGAGGCTTGGAGACCTGTGACGGCACTGCTCAGATACAACCTCCCACCATCAAAATCACCTCAATGCCCTGTCTCTCCTCTGTGGCATCACAAAATTTATTATTGGTAATTGATTGCTGAGTCCACAAACTCCTCCAGACCTCTAATTCCTTTAAACAGGGTTGCTACTGGCTTATGTCCCCACTTCCTGCTCCACTCATCCCACCTGGGTACATGGTACATAATACAGAGTGGAGTCCAATAAATACATGATTGCTGCTTTGCCAAACCTTGCTGAAAGAATAGATCACTAAATACCAGTAGGTGGAAGAATGAATGATCTTGCCCCACCTTAGGAAATGTTGTTAAGCCATCCATGTTGGGAGGCAAATAAGACTCAAACAGCAAGCATCGTTCTATTCAGGCCACACAGAGCCATGGTAGGGAGTCCTTTCCCTGCCTCGCACTTTAGTCGGTGTCATCCCAGAATTAACTCTGGCAGACCTGAATCCAGACCAAACCTCCTTCTGCTACCCACAGAGGCTCCATTACCAAAGCAACATTGCCATGTCAGGCACACTCATCAGGAGAAAGGATAGGCCCATGAGATGTTTTATGAGACAGAGAAAGAAGAATGAGGAGAAGGAAAAAGGAAGGAGAAGGAGGAGGAGGAGAAGAAGCACACATGCAGAGAATTTGAGAAGCAGAGTGATAGAGATGAACATGGACACACATTATTTCCAGAGTAAAGATCAAAAATCAGAATCTATAAAACTGTTAAACTCTAGTGCGTCCCCTAGAACATCTTTCTGAAAGATAAATTAAGATTCAAGATTAATAATTGAAAAACAAACTCAGTAATCATAAGAGGATTGTGGAAATGTTCCCAGATTGATTTATTGATTTACATATTATTCCTGGTTTTGCTCTGTTCAACAGTGTGATGTTTCCACTGTCTTTCCTACCCCCATTCCCTCTCCCTTTATCTCCCACCCCTTAGCCCTATCTAGTGTTAATCTAAACCTCCAATACCTGCCCCCCAATCCCATCATGAATCACCATCCTTATATCAGAAAAAAACATTCAGCATTTGGTTTTTTTGGGATTGGCTAACTTCACTTAGCATTATATTCTCCAACTCCATCAATTTACCTGCAAATGCCATGATTTTATTCTCTTTTATTGCTGAGTAATATTCCATTGTGTATATGTAACACAGTTTCTTTATCCATTCATCTACTGAAGGGCATCTAGGTTGGTTCCACAGTTTAGCTATTGTGAATTGTGCTGCTATAAAATATTGATATAGCTGTGTCCCTGTAGTATGCTGTTTTAGAGTGAGGAGAGAGACAGCTGGGTCAAATGGTGGTTCCATTCCCAATTTTCCAAGAAACCTCCATATTGCTTTCCATATTGGCTGCACCAATTTGCAAGTACATGTATGAAGACACGAATGGTGTAACTCTACTTGGTATACAATCAGAGATATAAAAAAAAGTGCACTATATGTGTACTATGAATATTAATGCATTCTATGGTCATATATAACAAATTAGAGTAAATAAAAATAAATAAATTTTCAAAAAGTGTGTGTTTGAGATTGCTGAGAACCTGAGTACCACAACAGGAGATAAGTCCAAGAAAGGACAAGATTTTATATGGGGTAGTAATAACCACATTCACTGCAATCTCTCCCTTTAAAAGTCATGAAGTATTTTCACTTAATGTATCTGGGGATTCTCCTAACATAGCTACATACCGGGAGGTTATTAGTCCTCATTCTGGAGATGAAGAAACTGAAGGCGACAAAAAAAAAAAATGATATTTCAAAGTACTGCAATCAGGAAGCCTAACAGTATGAAATCATTGCCCCGTCAGCCCCCATCTCCTCCTCTTGCAGTTGACTTGTGGTCTTCTGCGGGAAGCCATGGTGAACTGTGCATGAACTAAAGCTATGTTGAAGCCATTAGGCAGGAAAGCCTGGTATCAGGAACTCCCAGTAGGAATCCTGCTGGTTTGAGAATGCCTGGTTCATGTAGCATCCTGCCTAGCTCCAGCTCAAATTCTTGCATAGCCCAGGAGATGGGAGTGCCCCCATGGAGCCTCCCAGAGATGGGTGTGGCTTGCCAAATGCCTATCAACCTTTTTACAGCAAGACCCCTGCCATGGGAAAGCAATCACCTAACCAAGACTCCTCCCCCTGAAACCTTCTCCCTGCCTTTGATGTACTCCCCCTTAAGTAATCAGAACCTTTTTTTAGTTGTTCAGTTCCATCTCCCATCAGGACTGGAGGACCCATCAGGCACTCCTCTTTGAATCTAATTTCTGGCTCTGTCTTTATTTCTTACTAACTATTTCAGATTTTTTATTTCCCAGGCAACTCCTGCCTCCTCAGCAGGAATCTACCCTGCGGGGTGCTGGTCACCTGTCAATCTTCCCTGGGAGGTTTTGGGGAAGAACAGTCAGAGTGCTCACTGTGCTAGAGCACAAGGAACCTCATCAATGCTCTCTTCAAAGCCTCCTTAAGCTCCCTGCTCCTCATGCTGTAGATCAAGGGGTTCAGCACAGGGGTGACAAATGTGTAAACCACAGACACCACCTGGCCCCTGTCTGGAGAGTACCTGGAGCTGGGGCACAGGTAGATGACACTTGTGCACCCATACTGCAGGAGGACCACAGTCAGGTGGGAGGAGCAGGTGGAGAAGGCCTTGTGCCTCCCCTCTGCAGAGCGCATCTTCAGGATGGCAGCCACAATGAAGACATAGGACAGGGTGATGAGCAGGGAGGGGATGGTGAGCACAATGACACTGACCGCAAACAGGGTGACCTCGTGGACGTGGGTGTCGGCACAAGCCAGCCTCATGACAGGGAGGACGTCGCAGTAGAACAGGCTGATCTCCTTGCTGCTGCAGAAGGGCAGCCGGAAGATGAGCACAGTCAGCTGCAGGGCCAAGGCGAACCCCAGCACGAGGGACCCCACGGCCAGCTGCACACACACGCGCCAGCTCATGATGAGGGTGTAGCGCAGAGGGTGACAGATGGCCACAAACCGGTCATAGGCCATGACGGCCAGCAGAATGCAGTCCGCACTGCCCAGGAAGATGAAGAAGAACATCTGGGTGCCGCAGCCTGGCAGGGAGATGAGGGTGCTCTCTGTGGACAGGACGCTGGCCAGGGTCAGAGGGGCGATGGTGGAGGAGTAGAAGACCTCCAGAGCTGCCAGGTTTGCCAGGAAGAAGTACATGGGGGTGTGGAGACAGCGGCTCATCCAGATGGTGAGGAAAATGGAGAGGTTTCCAGTGATGCTGACCAGGTACATCCCGAGAAAGGTCACGAAAATCAGCACCTGCACCTCGGGGAGTCGGGAGAAGGGGCGGAAGTGGAAGTGGATCATCCCAGTTTGGTTTGCTTCCTCCATGTGTCCTCTGCATTGGGCCTGCTGATAGCCCAGGCGCTGCCCCTGAGGACAGATCAATGTCAATCAGATGCTTCTTCATCTATAAAGACAGGACAGTATCATTCTCAAGAGCCTCAGGAGACTAAATGTGGCGGCTCCCTAGTAAGCTCTCATGAATGCTAGTAATCCTGAAAACCACTCTTCTTCCACCTCTTCCAGATCACCTTGATGCTTCCAGCTTCCCCAAAGAACTCCCCTTTGGGCTCTATTCTCTCTCATCTAACAAAGATGTCTGATGCTTCTTTTCCACTAGTCTTCCACCAATGCTCGCCATTTTCACGTCCTTCTGTGAGCCCTAACACATACTGTAATGTCCCGTCTCTAATCCTAGCTGATCATGACTGAAAAAGATCACAAAACCTGTCCCCTGGTGCCACAGCAGAGATTGGCATTCTCAACCCCAGCACCCTCCCCAAGCCCCCAAGTCAGCCCCTCTTTCCAGTCCTCACCAAGGCTAGTCCCTCACCTCGTTGCCCTTCTCTTCTACCCGCCCCCTTCCCTCATGCTCCGGCTCCAACTTCACACACACACAAAGAAGGAACAGAAGCCCCCGAGGCAGCTCTCCTTCATGCTCACCAGCTCTGGGCCTGCAGCAGTGTCTGCTGACCCGGCTGCCCATCACACACTCCCACCTGCCTCAGTGGGAACGTCCCTCCTCCTTGGCCTAAATATTGGCCTCCTGCTGGGCTCTCTGGGGTCTTGCTCCACAGATCCACTGCTCAAGCTCCAACACCTACCTCTGCCCCCCACTCTAGAGCACCCTCAGCTCCCCCAGTATAAAGAAACTGCCCTCAGGGTTATGTCACCCTCCTGGCTCCTCCCAGAATGGACATCTGCTGTCCTTCCTTCATCATGGGCCGTGAGCTTCCACCTCACCCCTCCAGCTCCCTAGACCACTTTAATGAAGACCACCAAGGACTTCCAAGTTCCTGAATCCAATAATCTGTTGCATATATACCTAGTGGCGCTCCCTTTTCCTGAAAATTCCTCAGTCCTTGGCTCTGAGATGCTATTCTACCCTCTAGACACTCTATTCCCCAAATTTGGAGAGGTTGCTGTTCCTGTTGGTGATTCACCAAAGGAAGGTTTTGCTGGTTATGTACCACTCATCCCCGGATCCATTCTCTGCCCCGCTCTGCCCCTTGAAAGGCTGGTCCCCATGCATTACGTCATCAGGGCTCCTTCACTCTCTGGCTTCTGGTAGGACAGAAACAGGCAGAAGAATGAAGAACAGTATGAAGACAGGCAGGGTATTTATCCCATGCATTCCATGCCACCTCCTCCTCCCTCTTCCCTATTGGTTCTACGATAGCAGTTCTGGGTGGGTGGCCTGACCCCCATAGCACCAGGTACAGCTGGGCTCAGTTCCCTCACAGTGTCACTTCCACCACTGCTAGCCCTGAGTGCCTCATCACCCCTTGTATATTCCAGGAATTCTGCCCTTACCCCCGTAAATGGTCCCAAACTGATGCCTGTCCACAACTTGTTACATACAGTTGGTTTTAACAATAGTTATTTAATGCTTAAAGGGAAAAAAATATTGTGTTTTAATTCATTCTAGAGTCTCTTGTGTATAGTGGTTTACACCTATATCCCAGAAGCTGAGGCCAGAGGATCACAAGTTCAAGACCAGCCTGGGCAACAAAGAGAGACTCTATCTCAAACTAAAAAATAAAAAGAGCACTAGGCAGGGTCGTGCATGCCTGTAATCCCAACACCCCAGGAGGCTGATGCAGGAGGATCAAAGCCAGCCTCAGCAAAAGCAAGGCTTTGCTAAGCAATTCAGTGAGACCTTTTCTCTAAATAAAATACAAAATAGGGGTGGGGATGTGGCTCAATGGCCAAGTGCCCCTGGGTTCAGTGCTGGTACCCCAAAAAATAAAATAAGATAAAACAAAAAGGGCTGTGCATGTAGCTCAGTGATAATATCCCTGTGTTCATTCCCCAATTCCAAAAAGATAAAATCTCTTCTTTTATTTTTTTCTTTGCACCACTTATGATCAATAGAAATGCATTTCTAAGCAAGTTTTTATGGGATCTAAAACAATTAGACTCACACACACACACACACACACACACACACACTCACACACAAAAACAAACATACAGACAAGCACACACCATATCCCCTGGAGAAAACTAACCTGACACTTATCCTTGTTCTAAAGAGTAAACACTTGTTTTAAACAGTTCAGAGTGTTATTTTAAAATAGCATAGACTGAGTGGCTTAGACAAGACTTTCACTGCTCACAGTTCTGGAGGCTGGTAACTCCAAGTTCAGGGTGCTACAAAACTGGCTCTTAGTGAGGGCCCTCATCCTGGACAGCAGATGCTGCCTTCTCACTGTATGCTCTTATGGCAGTGAGAGGAAGCTGTAGTGTCTCTTCCCCTTCTATGAGGACACTAAACCCTTCAAGGGACATGCATGCTGAATCCGCTGAAACTGATTACTCCCCACATGCCCCACTTCCTAAGACCATCACAACGGGAGCTACAGTTTTAACGTGAGTTTGAGCAGGAGAGACCGCAACATACCTCACATGACATGAAAGGTGGAAAAATGTTACTTGGCACTTAGCACCCTGCAGTGACCAGATCATCCCCAAAAGACTGAATTTTGCTCTACTCCTGTCTGAAGATACGCCGTGACCTTTGTACACATAATGATCCCTTAACCTCTTTGTTGCTTCTTCTCACACAGAATAAGTCATGCTTGGTATTCCTGCTGATGGCAGCTTTTCCTCTAAATACTAGCTCTCAATGCCCAGTTTGCAAGTAAAATGTTTATTTTTCTTTTTTTTCCGAAGTGCTTCTAACTCTGTGCTCTCATCTGACGATGCAGTGTTTTGGCACAGCCTTACCTGGGCAAGTGGGATAGAATATCGGCTCCTTCCTGGCTGGTCAATTTCCATATGGAAGTTTGTAAGAGTACGTTGTTCCTGAAGAGGTGAAATTGCATTCCTGCGAGCAATGGCAGGAGCACATTCCCCCTCCCCCTCCTCTCTCTCCCTCTCTATCTCTATCTCTATCTCTCTCTCTATCTCTTACTGTCTCTGTCTCCAGGGTAAGTAAAGAAGCCCAGCAGACCCTTTACCCCAAACATTTGACTTCCATGAGTTCAACATGAAGGGGGAAGTCGGGGACTAGAAAGAGAATCGTTATCTCTAACACAGTGCTGCGTTCACCTCTGGGCTCACTTCTTTGTAATTGTCCCCTCCATGGTCTCCAAGCTCCATGGAGTAGCCACCGACTCCACTTCACCCTCACTAATACCCAGGACCCACATCAGTGCCCGGCACTTGATAATTATGCTCTGACGCAAACACTGAGGTTTTATTGAGATTAGTAGTACCGGTGACTCACATCAGTAAGTTCAAAATAGAAAAGGTCATCTTTATTTTCTACCTCTGAAACTATTAGAGCATACCCTTTCTGAGGAGAGAATTGGCAACTTTCAAGAAGAGTTTTTGAATGTTCCATGATTAAACCAACGCTCCACATTAAAAGTTGTCCCAACAAAACAGACCAGAACATGGACCCAAATGCATTAAGATGCGTCCAAGATGGTTTAACAGTTTTTACGGTGAGTTAAAGTTCAAGGCAATGGTGGGGTATTCATATGATCAGCTCCTACCTTCCCATTAAAATTGTTCCACTTAAGAGGTTTAATGAAGTAAGTGCTGATAACGTAATGCTGAACGAGGAAACAAAGTGGCACATAGGGTGTCGGCAATGAGGTCATCCCTCCAAAAGGAAACCCACCCTCCACGCTTAGCATTTTAGAGAGAATTAGGAGATTGATATTTTCTTTATACTTTTCTCCATTGTTCAAATTTTCTGTAAAGAACATTTGTTTATTTTTTTAAGTCATAAAAATGTTATTGACATTTTAAACTCCCATTTGAGCAAGGGACACAAACGTCCCAGTAATTGCAGAACCATTAATTGTCAGAACCAGAATTAACATGGAGATATGGCCACACAACCTGGATGATGATGAGAAAATGATGCCATCCAAGCTGCTGCTTATAATGTCCCTCCCTCCCCCCTCCCTTCCTTCTTTCCCTCTCTCTTTTTTCTTTAGCCTTACCTCTTCTTTAAATGAACTTTTTTGAGGTTTGATTCACCACTCCAGCCTTTTGAGATCTTGCGAAGAATTCTAATTCATCACTCTAAAATACCAGTGTCTGTCCATGGTCATCTGTAAATACAATGAACCTGTGTCTCAAAGCTCACTGTGCATATTGGACTATTGCCCCAGGAAGCCACATTCCTTACACGTACTTCTCTAGAGAGTCAACCAGATTTTCTTTAGAACATCGACAAGTTTTCAAGTGTGTTTCAAATTTAAAAAAAAAATTCTGTGTAGAATATGTCTGAAATGCTTGAAAACCTCAGTGAATTCCATTTGTTTAAACCAGTCCATTGTTTACAGAAGGGATGTGATCCTGAGTTCTTAACACACTGCCTCCAACTTCAGCCCCCACACATATACGTTCCTGTCTCTGAATGGAGACATGGATATCATCCTTCTTGACCATGAATGCTACATGTTTCCCTTTATGCCTTAGCTGCTAGGAAGCCCAACAGTAAGCTTGATACTTAATTAATGAATAATCCTCAGCCTCAATTTAAAAATTAAATAGATGTCACCATTTGTATTTAATTTGTCCATTTTATTCTATGCAGTTGATTTGGCTCTTAGGGTTTTATTATAAGATATTGTACTTCTTCTTGCCATTTTGGTCTTCATCCAAGGCATTGATGAGTGAGTGAGAACTCTCCCCACTGTCCACTCTCAAGCATGCTCCTCCTCTGAGTTCTTCTCAGTGGGATAAAGTGCCAATGCTGAGAGCTTCTGATGCAGCCAGCGGTCCCTTCCCTGTGCACCTAGGCTGCCTCTGCTGCTGTGCAATTGCTTGCTACTTCAAGATTGGGTGGGTCAGCTCCAGGTCTCTTC